AAAGCACTAAAAGTCTTAAGACCCAACAAATCTGAAATGATGGACAGTTAGGGAAGCTACTATACAGAAACAAGCTAAAAAAGACAGAACTCTTCAGAAAACCCAAAGAGGTGTGTAGAACACACAGGGTCATTTTCACCCTCATAGTAAATCCCATAGTAAAGAACTCAAGGGAGGGCGCCTGGGTGGCTCAGTTGGTTAAGCGACTGCTTTCGGCTCGGGTCGTGATCCTGGAGTCCTGGATCGAGTCCTGCATCGGGCTCCCTGCTCGGCGGGGAGCCTGCTTCTCCCTCTGGCCCTCCCCCCTCTCATGTGCTCTCTCTCTCTCATTCTGTCTCGAATAGATAAATAAAATCTTAAAAAAAAAAAAAAAAAGAACTCAAGGAAAACTTTTCAGTATAACTGGGGAAGGGTAAGCAAAGAGTAGAGTACCGAACAAGCATGTATTAATTTCCTACAGCGTACCAAGCACTGTATATACATTTAACAAGTTTTAATAATAAATAATACTTTTTTGTTGCTCATTCATTCTTTTAATAAGTATTTGTTCACTGCCTTCTCTGGGTCAAGGCTCTCTAAGGATACAGAAATTTAAAGATGTGGCTTTCCTATTGTCAAATTTTGAGTCTAACGGAGAGACAGACACTCTGATGAAAATAATAATGGTTATAAATATGTTAGCGATAATACAATGAGTTAATAATGTTGTCATTTACTGTCTGCTTACTATGTGATAGGGACTGTGCCAAGCACTTTACATTACTTTTCATTTAATCTCTCATAAATGCCCAATGATTGAAGTACTAATATCTTCATTTTACCAAGAAGGAAAGTGAGCCATAGAGAGACTACGTAGCTTGCCTAAGGTTATACAGCTAACAAGTGGGAAATTTGAGATTTAAACGCTGCCTCTTTTCTATACCAGATGAACAGATTATCTGCCACCTCAACTGAATACTGGCTGCAATGGAGGTATGCCAAGGACAACGGAAGCAGAATGGAGAGCTCTTAAATGCTTTTTAATTTACAAAGCACTTTCCCATACAGAGAGTAAGCTCCAGAATTCATCATCCCCAAGAGGTGGAATTGGTAGGAAATATAATAGGCTTTCAAAATGGCTTAGGTCAAGGGATGAATGACAAAGTTACGGCGGGTAAAAAGAACCTGGGATGAATCAAACTTTTCAGATCCAGAGGCAAAAAGAAAAGCAAGTTCTCCCATGACATCTTTCTTGGGAGCTTATTGGGAATAAAATCGTTCTTGTTGGATGAACCACACATGCCTAAATTTCCAAGTTTCTAAGAACAGAGAGTCAACAAAACTTTCACCCCATTTTTTTACCTGAAGTCTACAGAAGATAATATGATACATAAAAGATGTTAGTGCTTAATATGTCTCTGGCAGAGCAATAGGTACCTTGTGTATATTGTTTCTCATCTCCTTAACACCATGAGATCCAACCCTATAGAAAAGAAGAACGCCGGGCTCAGAGAGGTCAAGTGACTTACCCAAGGCCACACAGAGAGTAAGTGCTAGAGGCATGACTTGAACTTGGAATAATGTGATTCCAACATCAATACTTTCTTCTTAACACCAAAGCACAAAGTATCAAGACAAATATCCCTACAATATTCAGCATGCTTCTTTTAATTCTTCATTCTTCATTCATTCTTTCAAAACCAATTTATCCTGTACATCCAAGGAACATAGTACCTATACGCATCCTCACCTCAGGAAAGGTGAGGAACAGGAGTGAGGATTAAAACCAGGAAGGGGATATGGTGCCACTTTGCACAGAGCCTTCAAGCCCATGATAAAAAAATGTAAGCAGCCATCCAAGGTAGAATGCACTAATATGTCAATTTTTGCCAGCAGTGGGAAGTTATCTCTCCACTTAAATCATTCAGTGGCTCCCCACTGCCCTTAAGACTAATCCTGAGTGTTTAATCTAGCCTGCAAGTTCTTATGAAACTCTCCAGCCTCATCACTTTAACCATCTGTCACCATCCCAACTCTTCAGTGGACCTTACTCTTTTACCTCCCAGCTTTGCATGGGCTGTTCCTTTTATCCAGAAGACTGTCCTCAGTCCTCACCTCCCATTAGTTGGCTAACCCCCACCACTCAGCTCAGAAGTCTCAGCTCAAAAGGTACTGGCCTCTGGGAAGCCATCCTCAATGCCCTCACATCTATTATGTTATACAATGTGTTGTGAGTTTTATTATCTCTCTCCTCCGTCACTTCCCTCCTGGAGGGCAAGCACCGTCTTTGCTAGCTTCTCAGCACCTTGCAAACAGCCCGGCACATAACAGGTACTCAATAAATATCTTGGGAGTAATTGTTAGGTTAGTGAATCAAGTGATTGATGGACTGATTGATTCTTGTTGAGACTACTGAGTCAAGGAAGCCATAGGAGGTTGTGCTATAGTCCAGGGGAAAACATCTTGTTATGGAAGCCTGGAAGCATTTATTAGAGCAGGCACTTTGTTAAGTAGGGAGAGTGTAATGACTAGTTGGTCAAGGGAGACAGCAAGTCAGAGAAAAGCAGAGCCAGCGGGCAGTTGCTGGGGAGACTACAATTCCACAGGATGATGAGTCATTAACATGCAACACCGGGTAATCTGATTTTCATGACAGACAGATTTATTATGACTTCTAAATATATAAATCCCAGGTTATGCTTTACAGCTAACCTAACAACTTGATATATGTGTCTGACATCCCATCTTAAAATCAGATTCCAGCTTCTAATTAATTTTTATTCACCCTTCGCCATAACTAGAGAGGCAGAAAATCTCAGTGGGATAAACAATAGACAGGGTATTAGTCGTTTGTATATTGTGGTGCATTTTCCATCAAAACACTGAGCTTCCTTTTTCTTTGCTACAAAAACGGGCAAGTACCCAATTCTCCCTATGACTTCTAGGAGGAATGAGTGGAGAACATTGTCCAGCAAGCTGATGGTATTTGTATTAAGTGACCCCCCCCGTTCCTGGATACTCACCCCTCCCCCTCCAACCTCATCCCACACACACAAGTTAGAAATAATACCATTCTAGTCAGTTTGAAGGCTGATCATAGCTTAAATGTTACCATCTCACTTTCTCCAGTAATATTTTTATTAAACAACTCTTAAGCTGAGTTGCTAACTCTATGAATACCTGACTTTAAACCAAAAATAACGTTCATGAAAGCTGAACATACTATCAACAGCTTCTTATATAATCTCAACAACATTTAATTCACTCACACCCAGATACTTTGTGAACAGTGCAAAGTGGTACGATGGTAGCTAGGAAAAGTTTTGTAATCTGCAGATTTCTTTAAAATGGGCTTTTAGTAGTCTGTATTTTTTAAATATACTATTAATGTATGTATATAATTTTTAAAACATTTTCTTCCGTTTTCTTTTGCCCATATATGAAAGTCAACATGATCACCATAGACTGGGTTAGGAAAAAACAACTACTCACATTCAACATTTAATTTATTTTTAAAGATTTTATTTATTTATTTGACAGAGAGAAAGAGACAGCGAGAGAGGGAACACAAGCAGGGGGAGTGGGAGAGGGAGAAGCAGGCTTCCTGCGGAGCAGGGAGCCCGATGTGGGACTCGATCCCAGGACCCTGGGATCATAACCTGAGCCAAAGGCAGACGCTTAACGACTGAGCCACCCAGGCGCCCCTCAATTTTTTTTTTTAAGAGAGGGCGAGAGGGGGGATGGGAGGGGCTGAGGGAAAGGGAGAAGGAGAATCTTAAGCAGACTCCATGCCCAGCTCATGAGCCCGACATGGGGCTTAATCTCACAACCCTGAGATCATGACCTGAGCTGAAATCAGGAGTTGGACGTTTGATGAACTGAGCCACCCAGGCACCCCTCACATTCAGTTTTTTTTTTTAATTTTAATATGGAGTTTCACTGTGTGTTAGCCACTGTCCTCAAAACTTTAAATGCACTAAATCTTACCCCACACTCCATTAGATACCATAATTTTCCCCTATTGACATATGAGAACACTAAGGGACACAGGTTTTAAAAGTTGCTTGCAGTCACAAAACCTGGTAAGTGGTAGAGCCAAAATTTTAATTGACACTGATGAGGCTCTCTCACCTTGAACTTCACTAATATACTGCCTCAGGGACTTAAGGGAGACCTTACTAAATAAATAATAGTGTAAACAGCCAGATGTGTTTGCCAAAGCCATAAATCCAAACTACACAATCAACCTCACATTGAAAGCACTATAGTGTTTCTGGCTTTTTATAAGCAGATTTAAACAAATCTGGATTCCAGTCTCTTTACTGCCACAGGATGGAATACAAACTAGCAGGAGGAATACACCCAGCACAGAACTTGTCTGATAGACATCCTGAATCACAAAGGCTGCCACTTTCTGGTTCACGGTAGTGGAAATAGGGGAATACAAAAAAAATCTGAAAAATCTTCTCCTCACTTTGTTATAAATATATGGTTTCTAAATCTCCAGTGTCAGTCCAATTGAATTGATGGCATGAAAGTTGATTACACACACACACACACACACACACCCCACATATAGAATCTATTCAAAATGTGTCTTTATCTGAGCCCTGAAAACATTTTTTTAAAAATGGATTCACATAATGATAAAAAAGAAGTTCATTTGCTTGCCCTTCAGGATACATAATACTGTATTTACCCAAACAAAATTGCATATTCTCCCTACAAAATCCAATTTAAATATATACAGTACTTTTATTTCTTTCCCTCAGAAAAGTTTATTTGTAAGGATAGGACATATCCTGGATACCAGTAAAAATAATAATCATTTAAAATAATAAAATTTTTAATTAAAATTATCTTCACAATTTTAAAAGTATTTCATTTTTTTAAATGAATTTAGAGTAGAATAGAAATCAAATCAACATTTACAAGAACACATAAAGCATTCATATTACAGCTAATCTATATGGATGATTTGTAAGTTGCAGAGCATTTTAATAAAACCATATTTTGACTCTAGCACTATTCAGTTAGGGCTTTATCAAAATATCTAATTACAAAATAAGATCTATGATGTTCAGATGAAACCACACACAATATAATCAAATCCTTAGCATGAAGCCATTCAATTTGTCATTGGAGGGTCTGTTTTCTGGGCCCATTCCAATTTAAAATAGCTTCTCCAGTAACACCACATTGCCCTTCCTCCCCTTTGCCCTCAAAATTATTGGAGCATAATGTAATTCTTTTACAAGCCTTAGGAAAATATTATTGGAATGCACAGGCAAAAATGCAGAGATGAAATGGAACAGGAAGGAAAAAACAAGTTTTTAAAAAATGGAAAATCAATTACTGTTTTTAATAACAGTGGTAATAGCTTTTGAGCTAAGAAAAAAAAAAATGCCCAGGGACAAAATAGATGTTCAATATTACAATGCACTAATGAGTACATTTACATATAATTTTCTGAAATTTACATCCAAGACTAACTGCGAGTAGAATTTAGTATCAATAGGAGTTTCCAAAATCCATTCATTTTTCCTCTAATCATATTGAATATTTAAGGTGCTTGACTAGACCTGATTATTTTTCTTCTGGACCCAACAAAGAACCTCGACAGCTTCGAAAGTGATAGATGAGTGGGGCATTTCCCACCAATGGGCAAACCCCCCCACTCCCACCCCAGGCCGTCACAGCAGGAGGGAAAACAATGAGAAAGTTTGTTCAAATTCACATGCCGACCACTGAATAAAATCTGCAGAGAACAAGGAGGTCAGCCTTGTCAAAGGGCCACCGCAAAAATAAAGAGGAAGAGGCAGAAATCCAAACTTCGAACATATGACTTTGCCGCCTCTTCATTTCATGACAGCCTGGAGAGAAGCCTCTGACAGACAGCCATCTCCCACTGCCCCTGAAAAGATGAAAAGAATACAAGCCCCAGCAAATCTCCCACTAACTCAAAACTGAGAAAAAGAAAGGGAAATGTAGCTAATTTGCAGTAACCCTGCTTCCTTATTCAGATTTCTGGAAGCATAATAAAATAGAGACAGTGTCTCCAGGACTCCACTTCCAGCTGTGCCCCACAAGTTGGAAAAAACAAGCAGGGACATGTTAACTAACCATACCAAACTGCCCTTCCTGCTGCCATTCTTCCAAATAATTCTAAGGAAGCCTGTGAGCCATTCTCCTAAATGCTTTAAGAAGATATATTCCTGACCAGGCAAAGAGATTTAGGTGAATTCCCGGCCGAATGCAGAATAAGGAACAAAATGCTCTCTCGAGGTGCTCAATTCTTGATGTATTGTGTTCTACTGTCTGCTAAAAGCATCATCTCCCCATAATTAAATGTTCAAATTCTACTTTGATGGTCCATGTAAAATCCAATTTGGTCAATTCAGTGCACCATCCACCCAGAGGTTGCCTTTCCATCCTCCCTGTGTGAGTTTCCTAGGGCTACTGTAACAAAAAACCACAAACTGAGTGTGGCTCAAAGGAAAGAAATGTGTTGTCTCACAGTTCTGGACGCAAGAAGTCCTAAATCAAAGGTATCCATGGGGCTATGCTCCCTCTGAGACTCTGGGTAGAAACCTTCCTTGCCTCTTCCTAGCTTCTGGTGGTGGCCATCAACCCTTGGCACTTGTGAGCCTGCAGCTGCATCACTATATGCCTCTGTTACCATATTCTCTTCTGTGTATCTCTCTGTCTCTTCTCTACTTGGAAGGACACCAGTCATACTGTGTTAAGGGCCCATCCTATTCCAGTATGACCTCATCTTAACTAATTATATCTGCAATGGCCATGATTCCAATACAGTCACATTCTGAGGCAATGGAAGGTTAGGATTTCAAATATCTTTGGCAGGGACACCATTCAACCTAGAACACTGCTATACTGAATCAACCACCAAGCTACATCCAAACTACTTCCTAACTGCCTCTCAAATTGCCACTTCTTTCTCTTCCCACCTCTACCGATTCCCACATCATTTCACATGGATAATTATATGAATTTCTCAAATCCTGCCCTCATTTTTGCATCACTCCAATCAACTCTCAAAAAAAACTTATTAAATGGAATGTAACATACATGCAGAAAAGTGCATAAATTATAATGGATTTCCACAGAGTGCACATACTCATGTAACCACCACCCAAGTCAAGACAGAGAATATCCCAACACCCTGGAAACTCCCCCCTAATTCCATCTCAAAGCTAACCATTATCCTGACCTCTACAAATATGGATCAGTTTTACATGGTTTGGGATTTTATGTGAACGGTGCCATACAGTCCATACACTTTCATATCTGGCTTCTTCTGTTAATGAGACTCACCCTTGTTGTTGCAAGTTGAAATAACTGATTCATTTTCTTTGCTTTATAAATATTTTATTGTATGATGATACCATTTATGTATTCATTCTACTGTTGATGACCATTCAGATTGAGTTCCATTTGAGAGCTATTAAAAATAACAGAGCTATGAACATTCTCATAGTTTTTTTTTTGTTTTTTTTTTAAAGATTTTATTTTTATTTATTTGAGAGAGAGAGAATGAGAGACAGAGAGCATGAGAGGGAGGAGGGTCAGAGGGAGAAGCAGACTCCCTGCCGAGCAGGGAGCCTGATGCGGGACTCGATCCCGGGACTCCAGGATCATGACCTGAGCAGAAGGCAGTCGCTTAACCAACTGAGCCACCCAGGCGCCCCATTCTCATAGTTTTGAGCATATGTCTAGTAGAACTGCAAAATCATAGGGCATTTAATTGTTCATCTTCAGCAGATATTGCCAGACAATTTGCTAAAATGATCATATTAATTTTCAACAACACAGCAATGTATGAGTATTCCAGTTGCTTCGTATCCTTGTCAACACTTGGTATTATCAGTCTTCTTCATTTTAGTCATTCTGATGTGTGTGCAGTGGTATCTCACAGTCCCTTTATTTTGCATTTCCATGATGGTTAATTATAATAAGGAGCAATTCAAAAACTGATTGGCTCTATGGATATCTTCTTTTGTGAAGAACTTGTTCAAATCCATTGCCCATTTTTTCTATCAGGTTATCTCTTTTTCTTATTGATTTATAAAAGATATCCATATGGAAACTAGTCCTTTGACAGACATATATATTGCAATTATCATTTCCCATTTTGTGGATTGCCTCTTCTCTCCTTTTTTTTTTAAAGATTTTATTTATTTATTTGACAGAGAGAGACACAGCAAGAGAGGGAACACAAGCAGGGGGAGTGGAAGAGGGAGAAGCAGGCTTCCTGCAGAACAGGGAGCCCAATGTGGGGCTCGATCCCAGGACCCTGGGACCATGACCTGAGCCGAAGGCAGACGCTTAATGACTGAGCCACCCAGGTGCCCCCTTTTCTCTCCTTTAATAGTGTCTTTGGTATAAAAACTTTTCATTTTAATGCAGTCTAATATATTTATCTTTTCATTTTTTGCTTTTTTAAAAAAAGCTTTATTGAAATAATAATTCACAAACTATCCAATTCATTCAAAATGTACAATTCAAAGTTCTTTAGTGTGTCCCCAGGATTGTGCAACAATCACAATAATCTAATTTTATAATATTCTTATCACCCCCAAACTGCATGCCCTCTAGCTGCCACTTCCCATTCCTCCCAACACTCTCACCTTCACCAAGCCCTAAGCAAGCACTAATCCATGTCTGTCTCTACTGAATTGCCTTTGCTGAACATTTCATATAAATGGAATCATATAATCTATAGTTTTTTGTGACTGGTTTCTTTCATTTAGCATAAGGTTTTCAAACTTCATCCATGTTATAGTGCACATCAATACTTCATTTCTTTTCCTTGCTGAATAATATTCCACTATGTGGACATATTACATTAACTTATCCATTCATCAGTTGAGGAGTATTTAGGAAGTTTCCATTTTTTGCATATTACAAATAATTCTTCTTGGTAAGCAAAATTTGGCTATCCCCAAATCACTATGATCTTCTACTGTATTACCTTCAGATGCCTTATTGTTTTACCTCTCACATTCAGATCAACAATCCAGCTAGAATTTATTTTTGTTTATTATGTGAGGAATGTTTTTCTCACATGAATGCCCAATTGTCTCAGCCCTTTCCTCAATGCTCCACAGTGTCACCTTTCTCAGAAATCAAGTGTCCCTAGATGAATGGCTCTATATCTGTATTCTCTATTCTGTTCCATTGATCTATTTGTTTATTCTTGAGTAATACTGCACTATCCTAATTATTGTAGCTTTACAATATATATTGATATCTCATTGTTTAAGTCCTCCAACTTTTTTCTAATTCTTCTTCACTTATCTTACCTATTCTGGGCCATTGGCACTCTGATATTTTGGCCAGGACTTCACTGAATTTTGAGATCAATTTGAAGAGATCTGACCTCTTTACGATACTGAGCCAGCCAATCCATGAATATATTATGTCATTCCATTTATTTAGATTATCTTTAATTTCTCCCAGTAGTATTTCTCTGTAGACATCTAATACATCCTTTGTTAGATTTATTCTTATTTTTAATATTTTAGGCTATTTTAAATGGTAACTTTAAAAATGGTTTATTCAGGTAAAATTTATATACCATGAAATTTATCCATTTCAAGCGTACAATTTCATGATTCAGCAAATTATACAGTTGTGCAAACATAACCCCAATCTACTATTTGAACACTTCTATCAACCCAAAATGTTACCACATGCTCATTTACAGTTAATTCCCACTCTTACAGTAGGCAAAAATAGCCATCTTTATAGTTTTGCTTTTTCTAGAGATTTCATCAAAATGGAATTATCTTTTGTGTCTATATTCTTTCACTTAGGGTAATATTTTTGAAGTATATCCAAGTTGTCTCATATATCAGTAGTTTATTCCTTTATAAAACTGTTGAGTAGCATTCCTTTATGTAAGTATACCAGGTTTTGTTTATCTACTAACCACCAGATAGATACATGGATTGCTTCTAGCTTGGGGCCATTATGAATGACATTGCTATGAATGTTCATGCACAAGTCTTTGTGTAGACACAGACTTTGTTTCATGTAAGTTTTTACTTCAATAACTAGAAATGAAATTGCTTGGTTCCATAAATAAGTATGTATTGAACTTTATCAAAAACTGCTACTGTTTTCCAGAGTGGCTGTACCATTTACATTTCCACCAGCAATGGATAAATTTTCCCAATTTCTTCCTATCTTCACCAGCACTTTTCATTATCTTTTTTATTTTAGTCATTCTAGTGAATTGACATCTTCTTGTGGTTTCAATTTACACATCCCTAGAGATAATGAGCATATTTTCACAGGTTTATTTGCCCTTAATATATATAAATACTTTGGTTTGTCTACTTGTTGAGAGTTCTTTATATATCTGGATGTAAATGTTTGATCAGACATAATTGGCAAATATTTTATCCAATTCTGTGGCTTACATTTTCATTTTTTCAAAATTTCATAATGTCCAATTTATCTCTTTTATTCCTTTTAGGGATCTTGGTTTTGGTGTTATATTTAAGAAATCTGTGACTAACCTAAGGTCATAAAAACTTTCTTGTATGTTTTCATCTAGACGTTTTATAATTAACAGTGCTTACATTTTTATCTGTAATGCATTTCAAGTTAGTTGTGTATACAGTATAGGGTAATCTGGGGATACAGATATCTAATCGTTCCACTTCATACTCTTTGGGAATACAATTTGGTTGTAGTTTATAGTCTTTTTTTTTTTATATGTTGTAGGATTCATTTTAAGTGCCATCTTTTTTATTTTATTTTATGTTTTCAAAGATTTTTTTTTTCTGAATTGTAGTCTTTATTAAAGTTCTTTTACAAACTTATGTTTGCTAATACGAAAAAGCTGCTTTGACTTTAACACGTGCTTTGCAGATTTGCATCAGCTGTAAGAAAGGTGTCAGCTGAGTAGAGTTTGGTCTTCAAAAGTGTGACTACATCCTGCATCTCCAGCCTTTCTACCTCCCAATTACGGACCAAGATCACGTGAAAACCCATTACTTTCAAATGTCTCATTTTCATAGCAAGGAATCCTCTGGGGTGGGCTAAATCCAAACAGTAAGTAGATCTAGGAACACACAGTACAGCTACTCCTTGAGTATCTGCAGCGGAAGTTACCACGTCGGAAAATGGAAGCAGTTGACTCCTGTTAATATCCATTCTTACTTCAAAATCAATATGGTAATTGTGTGTCAACTGTCTGTTTTTTGAGAAGTATCCTTCTCCCAGAAGGCTACTTAGCGCATCTGCCACCTTCACATTTGGATACAATGCTGTGGACAGCAGCGGTGGTGGGGCCAAATCTACGGTGTTCTGACAAGAAATATCCAGTTTTAGGCAAGCAGCCAAAATACAAAGCTTGTGAGCATTCCTCTCATTACCTGACATCAGCAGTTCATTGATGACGTCCTTTTGGAGAAGTGGATTAATAAGGGCCATGGGAAAATGGTTCATCAAGCAAAATGAACACACAGCATTTAATAGATTTTCAGAAAAGATGTGGTGGAGATAACCAGTCAGAGAAGTAGCCAGCCATAACTTCTTGGAACTCTGAGGTCTGGCATTTGTAGAACTGATTGAGAGAAGAATACACATGAAGAATACAGATAATGCTTTTCATGTTTAGAGAGGCAAGATCAGCTCACTTTCTTCATGAACAAGTCCATCAAATCAGTATGTCAAAAGCCAAGGTTTTCAAATAAAATGAGGAGAAAAAGAACTTGCTTTACCTTCCAGATGTCAATAGTTGTAGCCACATAATCTGCTATTCCCTTAAAAAGATCTAAATTATGGTACTGGAGGTCTCTGCAAGACTGCAATATGTTGATCAGTACTTTAAAAGGACACCCATGGATATTACCTATGACCATCTTACTGCATTCATCCAGAAGTATAATAGAGCGGTGATTCATGGCAACAAATCAGAAAATCTGTCTAATTCTCTCAAGGCTTTCATCTCCAGTTTCCTTTTAAGAGCAATTGGTGCATCTTTTCCAACACATCTTATCACAGCTTGTAATGTAAAGACACGCTCTATTTTCCAGACTTGCTGATCAACTAGTATCCACAATCCTGCTCGAAGAACGTCCACATTCTTGCATGGCTCCATTGCCTCTAAAATAGTTGACAAAACTGAAAGACATTTCTCATCACACTCATTGATATGTTCTTGGACCACCCTCAGCAAAGTCTGTACCAGCAGAGTGTTCTGAGGAATTCCAAGTTTCACCATAGCATGAAGACTGAACAGCAGGTGGTCACAGTGCATGATCTTGGATTCTCTCACCACTTGTTCACACAGCTGGTTAAATGCAGGGTGGTTAAACATCAGTTGTTTTTCAACATGCTTCTGGTCATCAGACATCCTTTTGGCAATTATCCACATTGCTGAAAAATAATTACTACTGGGAAATATAGGTCCTTCTGAAAACGTATCGAACACATCACTCAGAGAACTATACTCCTGAGACAGTTTTTTATAGTTGACAGGGGTTGGTTTTGTTTCCTTGGTGAGCACATCTTCATTGGAGGCCTTATGATGAAATGTTATCTTCTTCAATCCATCATCAGGGTCAAGAGAGTGTTTTGAATCAAAGGACAGTCTTCTAGGACAAAGCAGTCTGTCAACTGTAAGGACTGTTTCAGTGCCTATGCCCTTTGTTTGAAAATTATCTCCTGATTTAAAAATTAAGAAATCCTGAAATAGATATCTAATAGATGACTGCACTCCATTACCAAAGTCACTTAAGAGAGGGTTTCTTGGGTTCCAGTTTGAATAAACATTTTTCAGTCTGGAAAATCCCAAAGGATACAGCCTCATAGTTCTGCTTGTTGGAACTAAAGTACTGAATTGTCTGCTCTGCTATTCATTGTGCTATTCACTCAAACACTTTCAAATCACTTTAAAGTAGTCTATATAATACAATGCCACTTCAGGGAGTGAAAGAGAAGACAAGCCGTTGTTTAAAGAGAAGACATGCCGTTGGTTTCCATTGCTTTGGAGAGGTCTTCAATGAAAAAACTTTAACATTGACGGATACTTTTTAACATGAAGATTTAGCAACGGCCGAACCTAGACTTTAAGCATAGGGACTGGACAAGTAGAACCGCTGAGGTCAGAACCCCATGGTTCTATACAGGCGCAGCCATGACAGCTTTCCCACAAATATTTTATTTTTAAGTAATCTCTACACCGAACATGGGACTCGAACCCACAACCTCAAGATCAAAAGTCACAAACTCCACTGACTGAGCCAGCCAGGAACCCCATTTAATGCTATCTTTTTAAAATTTCATTTTGTAATTCTTTGTTGCTAATATATACAAAATATATTTTTATATTGACTTTGTATCCAGCAAACTTGCTAAATTCAATTGTTAAATTTACATAATTATATCTTTGCAGATAATATAATTTTATTGCTTTGTCTCCAATCCTTATATCTTTTTTTTTTTCCTAACCTCACTGAATTCACTAAGACTTCCAGTATAATGCTGAAAAGAAGGGGTGATAACTGTCACCCATTTCTCATCCTTAATTTCAGGATAAGGCTCTCAATATTTCACTTAAGCATGTTTGCTGTGGATTTTCTTTACAGATCTATTTTATTGAGGTATAACTGGCATACAACATTATACTAGTTTTAGGTGTATATCCTAATGATTCGATATTTGTATATATTGTGAAGTGATCACTACAAAAATCTGGTCAATACCTGTCACCATACACAAAAGATGCTTGATATGATTTCAATCTTCCTAAATTTATTGAAACTTGTTTTGTGACCTAACATGTAATCTATCCTGAAGAATGTTTCATGTGCATTTGAAAACAATGTATATTCTACTGTTTGGGGATGGAATGTTCAGTATATATCTATTAATTCCATCTGGTCTAATCTGTCATTCAAAGCCAGTGTTTCTGTATTAGTTTTCAGTCTGGATAATCTATCCATTGATGTAAGGGGGATGTTGAAGTCCTCTTCTATTATCGTATTGCTGTCTGTTTCTCCCTTTAGGGCTATTAATATTGGCTTTATATATTAAGGTGCTCCTATGTCGAGTGCATAAATATTTACAAATATTATATACTTTTGTTGGATTGACCTCTTTATTATTTTGTCTCTTTTACAGTCTTTATTTTCAAGTCTATTTGTCTGAAATAATAGCTACCTCAGCTTTCTTTTGGTTTCCATTTGCATGGAATATCTTTTTCCATCTTTTCGCTTTCAACTGTGTATGTCCTTACCTTTCAAGTGAGTTTCTTATAGGAAACATATAGATAGGTCTTGTTGGTTTTGTTGTTGTTGTTGTTGTTGTTGTTGTTGTTTTATCCATTCAGCCATTCTGTGTCTCTTGATTGGAGAATTTAGCCCATGTACATTTAAAGTAAATATTGACAGGCACATACTTATTGCCACTTTGTTTGTTGTTTTCTGGCTGTTTTGTACTCCCTCTGTACCTTTCTTCTTCTCTTGCTTTCTCCCTTTGTGTGTGTTTTTTTTTAAGATTTTTATTTATTTATCTGAGAGAGAGTGCACACCAGCAGGGGTGGAAGGGCAGAGAGAGAGGGAGCAGACTGCTCACTCAGCAGGATGCCCAGTGCGGGGTTTGATCGCAGGACCTTGGGATCATGACCAGAGCCGAAGGCAGACACTTAACTGACTGAGCCACCCAGGTGGCCCATCTTCCTTTGTGGTTTGATTACTTTCTTTAGTGGTATGCTTAGATTTCTTTCTCATCATCTTTTATGTATCTACTATAGGTTTTTGCTTTGTGGTTACAAAAAACAAATTTTAACAATCTATGTTAAATTGATAACAACTTAAGTTTGAACACATTCTAAAGCTCTACATTTTGACTTATTTATCCACCACATCCTGTGCTTTTGAAGTCACACTTTACATTCTTCTATCTTGTGTATTCCTTAATTATTATAGTTAGTTATTTTCCCACTTCTGTTTTTTAGCTATGTACACTTTGTAAGTGATTAATCCACTAACTTTACTCTATATTTACCTTTCCCAGTGAGATTTATACTTTCTTATGTTTTCTTATTCTAATTAGTGCCCTTTCTTTGCAGCCTAAAGAATTCCCTTTAACATTTCTTGTAAGGCCAGTTTAGTGGTAATGAACTCCTTTAACTTATCTGGGAAGCTCTCTATATCTCCTCCAATTGTGAATGATAACTTTGCTGACTAGAGTATTCTTGGTTGGAAATTTTCTTCTTTCAGCACTTTGAGTGTATTGTGCCATTCCCTTCTGGCCTGCAATGTTTCTGCTGATAAATCTATTCATAGTCATATAGGGGTTACCTTGAATGTTAACGGGTTGGTTTTTTTCTTGCTACTTTTAAGATTCTCCCTGTCTTTACACACATTTTAATTATAATGTGTCTTGGTGTGCATTTCTTTGGGTTCATCTTATTTTCAGATATTCTCTATTAAAGATGTTTAGTTATATTCCTAGTTTGCTAAACATTTTCATCAGGACTAAATATAAATTTTATCAAATGCATTTCTGTATCTATTAAGATGATTATATGATTTTTCTTTATTATATAATTTGATTTTTTTAATGTTATCCAACCTCTCATTCCTATGATAAATACAACTTGCTCATGACATATTCTCTTTTGTATATATTGGTTGGTCTTTTATTATTTTGTTTTAGGATTTTTGCATCATTAGGACTGTCAAAATCTTTGCTCAATTTTCCTAACCTCTTAGCTGCTGTTTTCTATTGGGCTTTTTAGCTTCTCAGAGCTTTATCGTTTACAAATCCACAAATGCTTCATGGAGAAAAACAGTGAAAATACTGAGGTCCCTTCAGCACACTTCCTCTCTCCAGGATTCTAGACCCTCAAGTCCCAAGAGCCTTGGTAGCTCTTCAATGCCTTGAAATAAATATTTTCTCCTTATTTTGTATAATTTTTCTAGTTGTTCTGTGGAGGGTTGCTGGCTACTCTACCATTACCAGAGCAAAAATTAATCCTTTATAATGTAAAACAAATCATATTATTCTTCTCCCCTAAATTTGTAAATGGCTAACCTGCTGTGCTTATTTTTTTTAATAAACATTTGGAATTTTATTTAAAAAAAAACATAAAACTAAAAAAAAAATCACAACCATGAACATTGTTATAGTTAGAGGCTCTCTTGGCTCTCCACAATGATACTGAGCATGTTCACAAGGGGTTCCCATTGTTTAGTCTTAGTTAAACAACCATCTTTAAAAGAAGGGAAAAAAAAACTCGGCACACTACCCTTTAACTTGTTTTAATGTTTCTTCACAAATGGTGAAAAATACTAAAGTACAGACAAGGAATAATCATAATGTTGTGGCCAACATTATAAATATGGAATTATAAATTTAAAACATTTTCTGGTTTAAGAAATAAATCTGGTAGTCAATGCAGCTCTGTGTAACCCGCTGTCCTTGTAATAAAATGCATATTCCCTGCTATGGCCTAGACTGATCCAGTCCCAGCCTTTTGCTCTGTCTTGTCTTACCATTCACTCCCTTGCTCACTCCTCATGGGTCTATTTTCTGTCCCTCTAACCGCACCAGTTCATTCCCAAATCAGTATCTTCACATTTGCTTTTCCCTTTCCCTGGAACACCCTGTCCCTGATCTTTGTATAGCTGTCTTACTTTATCATTCTGTCTCAGTTTCAACGTCATCTTCCCAAAGAGGCTTTCTTGGGACAATTTATTTTGTGCCCCACCTGCCTGCCCTTTGCCCTCATCAAACAATATAACCTACATAAAACAAAGGATAATAAAATTAAGCCAACAAAAATAGAGTATTAAATTTCCCAAAAGTACAATGTTATCCCCATCTCATTTCCACATTCAAAATAAAGAAAACAATCAACCAGGAATATAATATCTTTGGAGCAGAACTATGTCTCTATATTACAATGCAGAGCTTAAGAGTATCATCTTTCTTTGGAGTGTGACAACCTGGATTCAGATTGTTGCTATGTCACTTTCCAGATACATGACTTTAAGCAACGTTCTCAGCCTCACCTTTCCAACCTATAAAATGGTGATAATGAAAATATCCATTTGATTGTATTTTGTAATTACATAATAAATGTTATTTTGTATGTGAAGTGTTTAATACAGCGGTCAGATCATAGAAAGTTCTCTATAAACAAGAGCTACTATGATTACAATGATGCTTATGATGACAATGATGATGAAAATAATAATGCTCTATAGCATCTGGTAAAATACTAAATCATTCAATCAAGCACACACACACATACATACTGGCACACACACAATTAAATATGATCATAATTACCACCAAGTGGATGCAACCCTTATCACATGCTTTACAGATTTAATAAAGAATAAGTTTATTTGGGGTGGCTCAGTCAGTTAAGCGTCTGCCTTTGGCTCAGATAATGATCCCAGTGTCCTTGGAGTGAGCCCCATGTTGGCCTCCCTGCTCAGCGGGGAGCCTGCTTCTCCCTCTCCCCACTGCTCCTGCTCTCTCTCTCTCAAATAAATAAATAAAATCTTTTAAAAAAAGAATTAAGTTTATTTGATTTCTCTATTGGGTAAGTTTGGTGGCAAGAAATACAGACTAAGTCTAGCAAGTCTGCTCAAAGATAAGAGGAAGGATACCGTAGTACTTCACAAAATTAAAGGAAAAATTGAATAACCAAGCTTTATGAAAAACAGGAATCAAGGTGTCTCCAGAAGACTGGGAGGCAGCAGCTTCAAGACCTCTCTCTAGAGCACTGCCATAAGGGACTATAATACCATCAGTACTAATTTTTTCTCTCAGTTCAAAATTCCGAATTCTTAAGAGAGATCAACTGACTGGCAAAACATAGTCATATGCCTACCCTTAAACCAGTCATCTCTATCCCAGTAATGGGGTCAAATATCAAAGTCTCAGTTGCTTGAATCAGGAGGCAGTTCCCAGAGAAGGGTTTTGTTTTGGAGCCAGAAGTCAGAACAAGAAGTACTACTATAGGGATAGTAGTCATAGGGATCCTATCTAAGATAAGCTTTCTCTAAAAGAAGCCATTTTGTTCTACTCTTTGCCCATCCAAAGCAGTAGTGTCCAAGTTATGCACCATTACCTGCTTGGGAGGGCGTTAATTACAAATTAAATATAATTGAATTGTTGAATTTGCTTTCAAGTCCTCTAAATAGAATAACGACATGCTACTTTGTAGAGCCAATTTTGCAAATCAAAGCTGGGTCCCTTGCTTCCTATGATGACAGAAAGTCTTTATGAGATTTTGAAAGTGTAGAGACATACTTCTTAAAAATTTAATAATGCCAGACAACAAAATTTGGGAGAAAAATCTATTGGAAACTGTGATCCATAGAAGCCATTAAAGACACCCTGCAAGGGAATATAAGATATTCACCAATGCCAAAATCATAATAAAAATCCTGGTTTCAAAATTCCTCTCTACTCCTCTAACACAAATTGTTAGCCACCTAAAAGGCTGGGAAAGAACTATGAAATACAATTAACGTATTCTATAGCAAAAGGGAGACTTATCCTCTTATACCCGCCCAAAAGACATCAAAGAAACTCTAAGTATGGCTGGGCTACAAAGGGCTAAAATGTACTACAACTGGGGGATGGCTGAGAGTCATGGACACTAGGGAATGTCAGCAAAAGAAGAAGAAACAGAAGCCTGGGATGGGAAAGGAGAAGGAATCCCATGTACAATATAATTGGCATCAGTGTATATACCCCTAGTTTACTATTATGTCATTATTTTCTGTTGGGAATATTTACTGAACCTGTGGTTCTAAAACAATTCCTGAGCCAAACAAAACAAAAAACTTTCATTCAATCCTTGGAAGGCTGATAGAAGACTTCCAAAGGGGCGGTAGACAGCATAGTGTGAAAGGTTCTTGGGTCAAACTATTGGATCCATTCTCTAGCTCCATGATTTATGAGCCATGTGACCTTTGGAGGTGACTTTACCTTTTGAGGCTCAGTGTTCACATCTAAAATAAGAATAGTATTTTTGTTTATACCTCATTTAGGTGGTTGTGAGCATAAAATGAGCCAACAACTATAAAAGGCTTATCAGGGTACTGCCACTTCATGAATATTTGTTGTTGTTACTGTTGTTTTTACTACTGCCCTTCTTTCATTCTTTAATAGATATTTGCTACATTCACTATATGTAGCCTTTTTGCCTTCACCACTCCAGAAGAATTACCTTAAAAACACAGACAGCAGTCTGAGTCACCAGGTTTTTACTTGACCAATCAGAACATGAAAACAAAATAAAACTATCATTCATAATCCTCATCATTTTAATTTTAATTCATTTTAATGTTCATTTTAATTCCCCCAAACGAGAGGAAGCACAGAATCTCAGAATAGAAGATAATTCACTATGCCACAGACAGAGGAAAACAACAGAGGTCTCATAGATTAGCACCAGGGCACCACTGTGCAAACATCCTATGGGGCAGCTGAAAGCCAATAAATAAGGCAACAGTGTGGAACATGTCCTGCACTTTCATACTGTGCTCTTTGGCTCATGCTACTTCCTCCACCAGGAATACCTTTTCTGCGTTTCTACATGTCCACAGAGCTACACTTTTTCTGAGCCCCAGAAGCCGAACTTCCCCGAGAGAGAGCTGCCTGATCCTCTCAGCTGGAAGCATGAAATGCTTCCTCTCAATTCTAGCATCAAGCCCTCTTTGATCCTCTAATGACACTGTCCACAAGGCAGTTTAGAAGTGTGTCTATCCTTGGTGCCAGGCTGGCTCAGTTAGTAGAACAAGATCTCAAGGTTGTGAGTTCAAGTCCCACACTGGGTGTGGAGCCTACTTTATAAGTAAGTAAGTAAGTAAGTAAATAAATAAATAAATAAATAAATAAATAAATAAATAAAGTGAGTTTTCACAGTCATGCTTTGAAGTCCTATATACTTGCTAAATTTAACTTGGGCTTTCTAACAGTCACTACAAAGAAACAATCAGTTCCATGATTCATAAAGTTAAAAAAAATAAAGTCTATTAAAAGAAAAGAAATATGTGTATCCATCCACTACACTTAAGGATTAAACCAAGGACTAGACGCAGAGCTGACTCATTTCAGCAAGGCTCACAGTGCCTAATGGATCTATACATAATATGCAATTCACACATGCTTGTAGAATGACTCTATTTGCTACCTGGAGCCAGCAAACCACTCCTGAAACAGTTTATGTAGTTCTAAGCCCAGCAATGAGAAATGGGTTTTGATAGATAGGAGTATGCATATTTTAGAGTACATAATCAGGCAACTCAACATTTATTCATCTATTGATCAACAGGTAAACAAAATCTGGTATATACATACAATGGAATATACTGAACCTTAAAAAGGAAGGAAATTTTGATATATACTACAACCTGGTTGAACCTTGAAGACCTTATATTGAGTGAAATAAGCCAGTCACAAAAGGACAAATATTGTATGATTCTACACATATGAAGTTCCTACAGCAGTCAATTTATAGAGGCAGAAAGTAGAATGGTGGTTGCAATGGGCTGCAGGAAGGGTGTAATGCAGACTTATTGTTGAATTGATACAGAGTTTCAATTAAGAAGATAAAGAAGTGCTGGAGATGGAAAGTGGTAAGGGTTGCACAGCAATATGAATGTACTTAATGTCACAGAACTATAGAAATGGTTGAAATGGTAAAGGTTATGTTACATAGATGTTACCACAATAAAAAAATTTTTCATAATTTTTAAAAAATTGTCAACACTAAAAAAACAATCTGATTAAAAAATGGGCAGAGGACCTGAATGGACATTTTTTCAAAGAAGACACACAAATGGCCAACAGATACATAAAGAATGGTCAACATCACTAAGCATCAGGGAAATGCAAATCAAAACCACAATGAGATATCACCTCATATCAGTCAGAATGGCTAAAATAAAAAACACAAGGAATAATAAGTGTTGGTCAGGCTGTAGGGAAACAGGAACTCTCATGTACTGCTGGTGGGAATGCAAACTGGTATAGCTGCTGTGGAAAACGGTGTGGAGGTTTCTCAAAGACTTAAAAATAGAAATACCATATGATCCAATAATTTCACTACTGTATATTTACTCAAAGAAAACAAAAACACTAATTTGAAAAGATATATGTACCCCTACATATATAATAGAACATTATGCAGCCATAAGAAAGGATGAAATCTTACCATTTGCAACAACACAGATGGACCAAGAGGGTATTATGTTAGTGAAATAAGTCAGACTGAGAAAGACAAATACCATATGATTTCACTCATATGTAGAATCTAAAAAACAAAATAAATGAATAAACAAGCAGAAAGCAGAATCAGACCCATAAATGAAAAGAACAAACTGATGGTTGCTAGAGGGGAGGAGTGGGGGCAATGGGCAAAATGGATGAAGGGGAGTGGGACATACAGGCTTCCAGTTATGGAATGAAGAAGTCACAGGAATAAAGAGTAGAGCATAGAGGAAATAGTCAATGATATTGTAATAGTGTTGTATAGTAAGAGATGGTAGCTACACTTGTGGTGAGCGTAGCATAACATAGAGATGTTGAATCACTATGTTGTACACTCGAAACTACGGTAACATTGTATGTCAACTACACTCAAATAAAAGAAATTTTAATAAAATAATTTTTTTGAATTTAAGCACATAATCAGAAAAAA